TGGGGTGCACAAGGGGGCTAGAGGGTGAAGAGAGAAGCAGGAAGTTGAGTTGCACATGTGGGTTTCCATTGCACAAGGAGGTGAACATCATTGAATGTTGCCCATCGTGTTTGGTTTATTTTAATTAAGCTTAGAATTGTGGAAATAATGTAATGTTAAAGCCATTATCTCAATTTACATAGCACTGAAAGAGTTATGTGAACTCAACTGCAACCGCTGCTACAACGTATGTAATCTACTACCAACACCTGAAATTACATATTTTTCATTGAATAGCATTGTACATATTGCTATGCATTTTTTCATTGAACAAGTGTTAACTTTGAAAATATACTTTATTGTCCATATAGTATGTTTGTTCTGTTTTATATCCAGTTGTTACACACTAATTGGAATTATGTATGCTTGACTATTTAAAGGAATTAGGTTCACTTGGTTATAAAATTGCGCCTAATATAGTAAAACAGTGGGTAACTTGATGTATTATAGGGAACATAATTCACATTGTGAATTACTGCCGGTTGTGAAAGGGGATTTCTATTCCTGAACTTCTTTGTGGCCCTGGTACTAATTGTGAGAATGTAAATTAACAAGAAAATATCTGCTGATGAAGAACAGAAAAAGAAAGTAATTACTGTGACTATTAGCTCACAAGATATGCCATAGGAATAAGGCAACAGCAGCCTAGGTCTTCATTTTAGTATAGAATTATGATTTTTCTGGTTAAACGTAGGATCAAAGCAATCAAGTACATACACAATTTGGTTTACAATTTGGTTTTGTAATTACTTAAAATAGACTCTATGTGGCTACCTTCAGCAAGATCTCCTTTTTATGGATTTTGTAAAACTCAAATAAAAGCTTTTAGCTCCTTGAGTGCCATTTTTCCGTTTGATTATTTTTAAAAATAGTTTTTTAAAAATACTAAAAGAATCCACTAGTCAGTGATTAAGGATGCAATCCAAACCCCCAAAGTGCTGAACTGGGGTGTGTGCATTGGATGGGGCAGAGGTTTCCCTCTTCCTTGTTCTGCCCGCAGGGTGATGCCAACACTACTTTTTGGACTGCTTGTGATTTCCTGCCAGCGGTAGCCTGTGGAAAGCCCTGAAATGCCCCATAAATGTGAGGCAGCAGCTGAGGATCCACTGGATTCCAAGTCAACCCACTCCCATCTCTTAGCAGCATTGAGTCCAATCCAGGACTTGTGTAGCCAGCAGGTGTCCACCAGAATGAGTGACAGGGCCACAGAGATGGTGGCTTCACGGCTCCATCATGTTCTGCTGCTGCCCAGCTTGGGTTTGGATTGGCCCTGAATGGCTGTGGCTGCAACCCTAATCCCACTTACCTGAGAGTAAGCCCTGCTGAATTGAAAAGGAGAGGGTTAGGACTGGGCTGTGAAAGAGGCATAAAGAAAACTAACCGATACGCATTCATAGCTTTGGTATTGCTCAAAATGTAAATGTAGCCAAGAATTCTTGGGTTTTTGTAGAGAAAGTTATGCTAATGCTAATGACCAGTGAAAAAGTAATTCATCCACTCTAGTGGGAAAGTTAAAGCATTACAAATGCTGCCCAACTAAAGCTGGACAATCAAACAATACTTGAAAATGTTTTGTCAATGGTGGGTGCTGAATAAAAACGTTTGAGGGAGGGAATGGAATGAAGGAATGCCTCCTAAATGAGGCACTAGTTAACTGAGTGCCTCTTTCGTTTCAGTTTCTCTAAGAATGCTAGATCTAAGAGCTTCAACTCTCTCCCTTCACAGTTGTCATTGTTTTTCGGAAGAAGGCTGCTACTACGCATGTGTGTCATGCAGCTGTTAAAAGTACGGGTTCCTTAGCAGAATTTTATTTCTGAACAGTGTGTTGATCACCATAACATGGAAGCTGGAACATCAAATTCATTCAGTAGCAGCTTGAAGTGTAGCTGTACTGCAATTTTGAAAGAAAAAAACACTAAATAAATAATACCAGGACAACAGAAGTGATAGATATCAAAACATGTATATTGCAATTCCTGTTCTTGCCAAAAACGTGTTTATCTTAGGCTTCTACCCTGTCAAATAAAAATGTTGAAGTATGCAATGCTGAAAGTTTTAAACCGGCTGATATACTGCAGAAGAAATTACACAGCAAAATAAACATTACACAGCTTGGCAATAATGCTGTGTTTTCCAACAATTCCTGATGCTTGTTTATCCATTGAACAATATCCAGAAACACAACTTTTGTTTTAATTCACATTGAGGTGGTTCACACATCACATTAAACTAGGGCTGAAGAACTGCAAGTTTGCCAGGCCCCAATTTGGCCTGAAAAGCAGTTTTCCTCGAATCATACCCAAACACACCTACTATTAGGGCGTGGAAACACAGCTGCAAAGGAACAGGTGAGCTCTTTAAAGTGCACTCTGCACTGTTCCTGGGCAAGCAAGCCTTGCTGTCAGCACCACCCAGCTGATGACTGGTGCTTTCAGCAAGCCTGCTGGGATTGGCACTTAATAGCAAGCTCCAAAACAGCTTGCTATGAGCACGCACATTCATTTGCAACGCTGGCTTGAAGTGAAGTTGGTGATGCAAAGGATCTGCCTCTGCAGGCACAACTCAAGCCATGCCTGCAATGATAGATAGACAGACAGATAGGGTCACCTTGTGATTGATGTCTGAGGCTCCACCCTCCGTCAAAAAGGCCTGTGGTGGGTGATCAGAATCTTTCCCTTAACCTTGTCTGGATGCTGTTTTCCACCGCAATTATTTTAAACCAGGCATAGGCAAACTCGGCCCTCCAGATGTTTTTGGGACTACAAGTCCCATCATCCCTAGCTAGCAGGACAGTGGTCAGGGATGATGGGAGTTGTAGTCCCAAAACATCTGGCGGGCTGAGTTTGCCTATGCCTGTTTTAAACTATGGTTTGAAGTGACATGAACCAGGCCATTATTAAATGAGAATGGGGAGAACCACAGGCATAGCTCAGTCGATAGAGCATGAGACTCTTAATCATAGTCATAGGCTTGAGACCCATGTTGGGCAACAGATTCCTGCATTGCAGGGGGTTGGGCTGAATGACCCACCCAAACTCTACAATTCTATGACTCTACCTTGTGCTCCTTGGAGAAGAATGTGGCATCTAAATGCAACGAAATTAAAAAATTGTGTTTTTTGTTGATTGCCAAATGCTTGTTTGTACCTAGCCATGTGTGTCTCCCATTCCGTGCTATGGTCATTTCCAAGATGTGGGTCACATGGCGTCTACCTTATTAATAAAGGTCCCAGTTAGAGACCCCCCTATAGTACCTGGTGCTTTAGCACAAGCCTTTCATTTTTAGGATGAGGCCTCTAAACTAATACATTACTGGCTTCCCTGTATAAGCCAGGATAGAGGTAATTGCCATGTTTATTCCAATGTAGTTTAAGGAATACCTCTCGTTGGGCCAACTGCCTTTTGGTAACAGCAAGCTTTTAATCCTGGCTGGACTTCACAAAGCAAAAAATCGAAATGCAAAGGTGGAGTGAAGTAGCTTTAAAGATGAATGTACAGAATGCAGATGTTAGATAATGCCTGCCTATAAGCCTTTCCCATATTAAAAGTTCTTGGCGATATTTTAACCAGCAGGCCCCTCACTGTTTGCTAAAACTGCTCATTAGGCGACAGCTGCTTTAAGGAGCTTTTAGGTTTAAGGATCCTGTCAACTAGGAGAGTCCTCATCAATGCCACCGATAAGCCTGCCCCAGTCGGAGCTGACAGTTTTTTTCATCCCCCCTCTGAAATCCCTTGATTCCTGTCATCTTTTCCTCCCCTCCTATGAAATCTCATTCTTGCAGAGGAAAAGGCTTCATGCTGTAACTTATTTAGCGAGTTCAATTAATGTCTAGGGCGCTAATGAGAGTATTTGGATTAAAGGACTACAGCATATAGATGTCAGCAGAATTTCCCCATAACCTCAGGCTTTTAAATATCCCTTCCATCTCAATCTCTGTCCAAATTGATTAGGCTGGTATAAGTTAAATGGCGTTTTTCTAGTCTGTGGATCTCAGTGTAAGTTTCAGAGCTTACACTTCAGGATCTAGGGAATTTCTGAAATGCAGATTACAAGTGAGAGAAACCCCCTCCCCACCTGCCTGTTTCAACAGACAAGGGATTATGGGAGGCACAAATTTGAAGAGCAGCAATGTGGGTGCAGCCTTGGTGTTTTGACTGCAAGTGTAGTTCTCCACACCTAGATGGATGAATATTAACTGGGATGGAGTGGTAGGGAAACTGACCATAGGGGATAAATTGAATCTCTCAGTTTCTTCTTCTTAAAGAAGCAGTAACTTCAACTGTAACCATTCTGAGTTAAACAATAAACCATGTACAGATCAACATATAGTATCTACACAAGTTATGATCCTCAGCTGTTTATACTTAAAATAAATAATAAGTTACTCTGCCTTTTACTTTGAAATGGAGCCGGTGCTGTTTTGTACCACGCTGATCCATAGCTAGCTACCGGTGGGTAAAAAATGGGATATATAATTGACTTGATATTTAGATACATGGTGGCAGCAGTGAACAACTAAGTAAAAGATTTTAGTCTAAAATAAAGAAAGCAAAGCACTTGGATGTGTGAAAACACCCCCTCCAAAATATGCAAGTAGTGTTCACCACAGCAGGCCACCCTTTAAAGATGAATATCTAACCACCTAACTTCTGCATTCTGCACCCATAGGAGTCATCATACCCTCCGACACTATAGACAGTGGTATTAAAATAGGCCAAGCAGTCTTCATTCCTGCTTTGCCTATTTTCGAATTTTGGCATTAATAAATTGCACAAGGTACTACTGCACTAGGCTGTATTAACTGTACAGTATTTAAATGAAGCCGCCCTAAAATTATTTATCATTCAGCTTAACAAACTTGTAAAAGTGGTAAGCATTACATGCCCTGCATTTACGCCCATTTCTTTTCCGGGGGGGGGGGGGAGTCCAGTTTTCAAAGTGTTGCTTCACTCCAAGAAAGTCTAGTGGCACTCTTGGTGGTCCTTAATCATGGAATTGAAGGTGTTCTGGTGCAAACTGGTCTTCACTCTCTTCTCTCGTTGCCTTCTGTTGCAGAACCAGACCCTCACCACTTCTTTCTCCAGATTGAGCCCCTCGGCCATCCTCATGATCTCCTGAGATGAGGGCTTGCTTTGTTCTGCAAAATGGCTCTCCAGAGCTTCTTTGGCTGCAATGCTAGAAAGGAGAACCATAACAATTCAATCATGTCCTTGGTATCTCAGGCAGCATGGAAACTATGGGCCAGTTCATGCAAGGCGTTTCACATACACGACAGAAAAAAAGTATGAATCCACATGCCATTTGTAGCCTGGGTTGTGCGATGCAAACAGGAAGCATCATCCGTATTTTTCCCTGTGCTTTCAATACTAGGGGAGAAAAAGAGGGCAGCACCAAATTCAAGAGAGCAAAGAGAAAAGCAAGGCTCAAATTGGTGCTTTAAAAATGGACAGTACATTGCCAAAGGTGTTTTAGTGAAAACCTTCCTTGGGAATATCTCTCACATGTCCAGAGAGGCCTCGGCCACTTCCACCTTTGGAGGCCCCTAGCCATAGTGACAAATAAAAATGACAACATTTGAGCAAAAAAAGGTAATCTGTACCAGTTAACACAAAAGTATGTGTTTTACCAAATCACATTTTAAATCGGCTTAAATTTGCAGTTCTAATCTGAGAGTGTAACGTTTAAAAACAAGTTGGAAACCTTGTTACGATATTACGATATTGCCTCATTCTTTGGGGAAACTACAAACGAATGTTGAAATTGCCTCCAAGCCACTTGTTGTGCTTTTCAGCCCAAGCTGAAATATTGTGAAAATATTCAGATATGTGGTATATTTCTTCCAAAGCCAACATTCAGATATGTGGTATATTTCTTCCAAAGCCAACATTCAGATATGTGGTATATTTCTTCCAAAGATAACAAAAAACAGTTCCCTCCGTAGTGGAACTATTTTTCATTTTGACCACAAGGGGCAGCATTATACTTTATGTTTGACATGAAAGGGGCTGTGCAAAGCAGGTAGGATTCTGATGCAAAACAGCCGGGGTGGTATGTTCCCTTTTCAGGGTTTCTTTTTAGAGAAGTTGTACTTTGCAATGTATTTGTGTTGCTGAGGTTAAACAAGCCAGGAATGGGTGGGTGGGTGTGGGTGTATCAGCATTGGCAGGGTAGTGGAGTAAAACAAAACATTGTGGTTTTTATCGATTCAAAACCGTAGAAGATTTAATTAGCACGGGTCTTTAAAAGGGACCATGAAGTCAACTGTAAGTATATGGAGGAACAAAATAAAAGAATTCCTTCCAGTAGCACCTTAGAGACCAACTAAGTTTGCTATTGGTATGAGCTTTCGTGTGCATGCACATTTTTTCAGATACCATGCACACGAAAGCTCATACCAATAACAAACTTAGTGGGTCTCTAAGGTGCTACTGGAAGAATTTTTTTTATTTTGTTTTGACTATGGCAGACCAATACAGCTACCCACCTATAATTAGATATATGGAGGAAAATAGTGATGTTTTGGACCTGCCCCCCCCCCCGCCAACAAATACAAGGGCCGTATATTTAATTAACAAGGCAATCCTATACATGTGTATTTGGACGTGGTGCAATGGGTCAGGGCATCTGGCTACTAACCAGAAGATTGGTGGTTCGAGCCCATCCAGGGAAGGCTGTGGACATGATTCGGTTGCACTAGATGACCCTCAGGGTCATTCAATCATTATATTTCTATGCCACTTTTCACTTACGTGAATCACAAAGTGGCTTACAACAATAAACAACATAACAGACCATCACAATTTACAACATAAATAAATAGAATAATTAACAAATCGCCAGTAAAACAATTGCAAATCATCAGCAAAGCAACCATCTTCTATAAAACACTTATTAACAAAACAACTAAAGGGGAAAAACGCTAAGCAGCCTACTTGTACAAGCCACTGAGGAGGGGGGCTTTCCAACTCTACATTTCTATGATTCTAGGGACTTAGCCTCCAACAAGTGTTTTATAGCAGGGAAGGGTCCCCTCTTTGTGCCTAAGGGCTACATTGCATTAGTGGGCTGGGCCAGAAGCAATAGTGGGCCAATGAGGAAGACTCTCACCTTTCCACAGGAGGCTACATTCTAGCCACACAAGAGGCAGAGGTTTACACACCCCTCCACCATCCGTCCAGATCTGTAAGATGGGCAAAAGCACCCATGGGTGGCATGGAGCAGGGCCATTGGGGGTTCATCCTTGGGGACGTGTCTTGAGGGCTGGCTAGAAAGACCAGGTAGGCTGCCTTTTGCCCCTGGACCCGAGGTCCCTAACCCTGGTATGTAGGATGGCAGCCTTAGGAGACTATTCCTACAGATGGGAATACTCAAGGGCTGACTGCCTGCGTTTCCCAAAGCTGAAAAGCCCAGTTCAGCATCCAGCTGCATTACCTTATGGTTGTTCTGCGTTTTCTTTTCCGCTCATTCACTCCAACTTTTTCATTGTATAAGGCTGCAGAACAGAACATTGTGAGAGAAAGCGACTTCCAATGATAACATGCACAGTATCAAAAGCTATTGCGATCTGCAATTCCTGTGAACTAAACACTCACATTTCAGTGATTTCAAAATAGGACCCACACCTACGACCCAGGGGGCACTTTGTCACCTGGTTCATTGGCACCTAGGACAGAGCTAGAGGGAACAATCCTGCTTCCTCCCTTGACTAAATGTGCTAAAGGGGTTGCTGGAGCAGGCCTGTGCTTTCTGAAAATTGTTCTCAGCTCCACATCAGTTTCAATGCACACAAGCAAGAAAATCTCCTTTAAGAAGAGCCGTGAAATTTTGGGTTATACCTCCTACTTGTTCTGCTTCCTCCAGCCACTTGGTTAGGATGGATTTTAGTTTGCAAGCATTCTTGAAGCTCAGCTGCAAGTTTTCAAACCGGCAAATAGTTGTTTGGCTGAACTCAGAGCCATGCACAGCAGCCAAAGCCTCTCCAACATTTGTTTGGGTATAACCTGCCAAAAGAAAACAATCCTACAAGCTCAGGGAAAGATGCTGGCATAGGAACACTTTATCCACCTATCTATTTATCAGTCTACACATCCACTCACCCACCTATATATATGCATACACTGATGATTTTGAAGCTCTTCCGGAATTTTTCTTTCATTTAATAAAACCTGATTTTGATTTCACAGCAATCAGACACAGAAAAGGTTTTCCAGTGGGGAAGCCATTAATCTGTGGCTGCAAAAATAACAAAGAATCCTGTGTCACCTTGAAGACTGCATTTGCTAATTAGCTAACCAATGCCAGGCTGTCCACATTATCAACTTTGCATGAATGGCCACTGGTAATGCCATAATTCGCACCCCCTGTACCTCTCTGCATTTCTTTTTCTTCTGACCTCAGTGAGATCGGTAGAGAGGATGATTTTTGCATCTATGGATAATGCTTAATGCATCTACAGCCACTTTATGCACCACATGCCACAAAAGTTATGCCAAAGTAAATTTCTTTGTTTTTAAGCTGTCACAAGACTCCCTGTTGCTTGTACAAAATAAAATGTTTTAATTTTAACACGGAAGCAGACAAACTAAAAAGGGAGCCTGGGACTTATCCTTGCACTATACAAGGCTTGTGCTATACATTTCCTACTACTCAGAAAAGACATTCACATTTAGATTTCCTACATAGGATCATTTATATCAGTACACCATTTTTGAAGAATGTGGGAGGCTTGAAAAGTTCCAGTATTGGGTAAAAACCCAGTTCATTTGCAGTAGTACTTAGACATGGACCTTTCACACTGCCCTTTCTACTCTGCTGCTGAAAGTTGACCATTTTATCATTATCAGTACGCCACAATCCATGCATTTGTCACTTTAGCATAAACAAAAGATTTTTTTAAAAAATCTCCTAACATCTTTAGTTAAATGAGTCACATACCCAGCTTAATTCTTCTCAGCTTGAACTCGTTGGCAAACTTTTCTAGTTCCCTGATTTCAGGAGAATCCATGTCTATTGGTTCTTCGATTGACTTGTTCTTCTTGCGGAATTCCTGCTTAAAATCAGTGACCGAGTCATCTCCAAGGATGGAGGGGTGCATGGAAGGAAAGCTGTGGCCCAGAGCACATGAACTGGCGCTCAGCGCATGGTCAGGGAATTTATAAAGGCAAGGGGTGAGGCTACCTGTTGGAGAACAAAAACAAATGCTATAATTTCCTAGCTCACATCATTTAGCAGCAGTGCAATCCTAGGCAGACTTTTACTTAGAAGTAAGCCTCACCAAGATCAATGGGACACACTCCCAGATAAGTGGCATGGGATTGAAGTCTTAATAGCTTATTCTCATTTCATATTACCCAAGTCTTATGTCCACTGGTCTTATTGATTGTTCTGTAAACTGTTCTGTGGCCCTCTGTGGTGAAAAGTGGCCTATAAATTTTGGAAATGAATAAACAAATAGACTGTGCTGGCTTCCCAGTTTGCTTCCAAGCCCACTAAAGGTGCTAAAACCCTAAAAAGCTGAGGGCCAGGCTATCTGAAACACTATCTCTTCCCATATGAACCCTCCCACAGGCTAAGTAGTCCTTTCGTATCTCCCACCAGAAAAATAGATTTGGTTAGTGAATAGACAAGAAGGGGCCTTTTCTGGGGCAGCTCCTGAGTTTGCAGAATTCCCTCCTGATGAAGATGACTAGCTCCAACCACAAGGTCCCTTTTAGTCATCCTTATTCTGTATGACTTTTCATCATTTCTAAATGGCTGTACTTGAGGGACAATTACAACCGATTCCACACGAAAAACAATTATGTCCCTGTGGAGATGGCAGTACTGAATCGGTGGCGCATGCCCTTCTGGCTTGCACTCTTTATAAAGACTTGAGGAATGAGATTATCACCCCTCTTTTATTGTCCATTCTGGGTCGCCCAACCACTGCTACAGTGTCCTTTCTCTTGGCAGATCAAGATGAGCAGGTGACAGCAATGGTTGCAAGGTTTTTAGCTGGGGCAAACAGAATAAGTTCCACTATTTGACTATTGATTATAAACCCTAAAATGCATTTTATATAATTGTCTGTTTATTCTCATTCTTTGTATATCGTACTGTTGTTTTATTGCTATGGCCGATGGCTGATGCAAATAAAGATTCATTCATTCATTCATTCATTCATTCCCGATGATGATGACTAGCTCCAACCACAAGGTCTCTTTTAGTCATCCCGATTCTGTATGGCTTTTCATCGTTTTTAAATGGCAATTAAGATTTAAACCCTGCTCCTTTTGATTTTGAACTACCACTGTTACAGGAATGCCTCTCGGGCACTGAAGCCTTTTATGTAATAAGGTTAATCAGTTAGGGGAAACAAAACAAAATGAAACAGGACAGACTTGCCTTGCAATGTGCCAACACCATTCACAATGTTGGGATGGGGCATACTGCAGGTCTGCAAAATGCGGCTTTGAGAGAGGCTGGCTGCCAGCATATCTGGACCTGCAGGCTTGATCCCTGGGTAAAAAGGGGGAGGGGGAAGTTGAGAGTGCAGTAATACCATTTCAGTTGAGACAAACTGAATTAGTTACAGATGTATCCCCCCCCCCCCGCTTTATGGGCCCACTGGGTTTAAGGGAACATTTCTTACCTGCCATCACGCCGTAGGCAGCTTGCTGGTTTCCATAATGGCAGGAAGGGATGGAATAATGCAGACCTGATAGAACATTTCCCAGTGTCGGCATGGAGAGGCATATGGAGGAAGATTTAGGGGTTGGGGTTAACAAAACAGATGAGATTGGTAAGAACATGTATAAAGACCCGAAGATCATCCTTTCAACCCAACCAAAGTACAGTTGTACCTCAGGTTAAGAACTTAATTCGTCCTGGAGGTTCGTTCTTAACCTGAAACTGTTCTTAACCTGAGGTACCACTTTAGCTAATGGGGGCTCCTGCTGCTGCCGCGCTGCCGGCGCATGATTTCTGTTCTTATCCTGGGGCAAAGTTCTTAACCCAATGTACTACTTCCAGGTTAGTGGAGTCTGCAACAAAGTGTTTGTAACCCGAGGTGTTTGTAACCCGAGGCACCAATGTATACTATGTCATTCAAATTCTACTCAGTATTGACCCAGAATAGATTCCAATGTATAGTTAGCAGAGTAAAACCTTACCCCCCAAAATAGACCAGAGGCAATTAATATTTCATCCAGCAGAGCTTTACTGCTACGGAAGGCAAATGAGCATAATGGTCACAAATCCAATACATTCAGGATTGGTGCTGTCCTTGGGAAATCCAGCTGCAGCAGACTTAACTTTAACTTATAATAACTTATAACAAGTCTAAAACCTTAACACTAAGCATGCTATGTACAGAACACCACACCAGAAGGAAAAGATATAGAAAGAGAAAGTGAAACCCAGGCTCCTTCTGGCCCTACTTTTATAGTCAGCATGACCTTGACTGAAAAGATAAGAGAACCAGTGTAAGCCAGCTATACTCAGCTTCTCTGAAGGAATAACCCAAAATATCAGGAACTCCTGCTTGTTTCTTCCACACAGAGAAGCTTCCAGAACCCTCTTGAATTAATTAGAATAGGAAAGATCTCTCCACATCAGATCAATACTTTCTGCACCAAGAAATGCAAACTGGGACCAGTGTACTAGAAATTGCCTTGACCCACATGTGCCCATTCAACCTCTTCAGTTGAAGAATTAGCACCACTACGGGTGTCACACAAGACCCGTTTAGTGTGGCAGCATCTACACTTTGGAACTTCCTGCCTGTTGAGATGAAGCAGGTGCCTTCACTGTTCTATCTTTGGTGCCTGCTAAACAAATTCCTGTTTAGACAAGCCTACCCAGACACTAAGAAAGTGGAGGTAATTTTACTCAGTATTTTACCTTCTATTTATATGCTTTAAAAGTATGGTTGTAATTTTTCCCCTTTATTTTATTGTTTTATCTTTTTGTAAACTGCTTTGAGCGTTGTTCTTTTCTTTTTTTTTACAATCAAGTTGTGTACAAATGTTATGAAATAAACAAACAGGCAAATAAATAATATATTATATTCACATTTTGGATCTGTCTTAAGTCTATACTCTACCTTTTGGAGAGCATCTTAAGAAAGTGTGTAAATTTGAGCTGTACATTCAGGAAAAGCAACTGCATGCACCCAGCTTTCAACGCACCTCAGATTTACCATGCAGGACAAAGTTGTTGAAAGCAGGTGGAGCAGAAGTCCAGTAAATGTAGGCCATCGTGTGCTAGTTATAGTGATTACTGAAAAGCTTGACACATAAAATATAAATTATGCTTATGAGATTTTATTTTATGGTGTAAATTTTACAAAATAAACATTTTTTAAAAAATAGTCACGTCTGATGTGGGCAGATGATAAAGGAATCAAAGGGACATTTGACTACTTCTTGAACTATGAATGGCTTCTGTGTTAGTCAAATATACCCATTGTTCTTTGGTTTGATTCCATTTTACACAGAAGGAACTCCCCTGCCCGCAAATCAGTGCATCCAGTTTTACTTCAAAACAGAGTTGTTTGTTAAAGATCACATATGCAAGTTTCAATATAGTTCTGTACTAATCACAGGCCAATCCTTATCTGGCAGGCTGGTCAAAAGTCCGCAGTATGAACTATTCACAAAATTTTAAAAAAGCAAGTGTGTCTATGTGTGTGGCAGGGGGGTTATGCACTGCAAATAAATCACTGTGTGCCAAACCATTTTTGATTTTCATTCTTTCAGCCACAGTTCTTGTTTTAAGGCATTGAAATAGAAATGAATTATATTCCTGGAAGGATTCTATTTCACATTAAATTAAAACGGCAGCGCAGCGTTCTGCTTCTTTCTTCATTTCTTTTGAATCCACAAATTGGTTTTCTCCCATGTAACAGAAAAAAAAGTTTTAACTTAATGATCTTTGAAATAGTTGGATACAGTATAATATACTTTCAGGGTCATCTGCTTTAATACACATCTTGATGCTTCTCTGAAATTAAAAACGGAGAGCTCTTGAAGTCACAGGAAACCTAAGGAACTGAAAAGAGCCTGGCTTAAATTGCCTGCAGGGGAGAGGAGAGCATAGCAGTTTCTGAGCACAATGACTTTCATGCATCACTGATATAACTCATTTGGGAGAAACCAGATGTGGAGCAATGAAGGAACGCCGCACAAAAGCCTCTGTCAATGGGACATGGATCTCTACCTTAAAAATCATATTTCCCTGCCTTCCCAAGGAGCATCTATTATTCTAAACCAGCACAAGGCATCCTCTGCCTTCTTCTGAGTGGTCTGTCTTATTGTTGATGATGTGGCATGGCCAGTCACTGGGACCATAGTGCAGCATTTAGTTGTAAGTCCACAACTACCAGAAAATTATTTGGAGGGGGGTGGTAGTGTTAGTGGGGAGACGTTGGTGAAGTCGAGGTTGACCAGGTAGAACTTTGCCAAGGTAACCCCCAAACCTAATTCTGGCGCTTCTTGAAACAATTCTTATTTTGAAAAAAATTATTCTAAAACTGTGAACTCTCTGGCAGGTTATGTAAAACCTTGCAAGTGTTTGAAAGTATGACTTGAGACAAATGCAGATGTGGCAGAAAGCTCAGAATCCATGGCCCACTTTTCCTGTTTAGACTGACCTTGGATACGGCCGTGTTTCCACTCCCAATTCAAAGTGCCAAATACTGCCTTTAAAGATTTAGGACCAAGGTGTTTTAAGGATCATCGTGTGATCATACCCAATTTCTGAGATCTTTGAGGCCATTTCCAGCTGGGTTCAGACACGCTGGTGGTAGGAAAATGGGACGGAGTATCTATGGTTGCAGCCCAGACTATGGAATTCCCTCAAGGAGGCTTGTTGGCTCCTTCCTTACCAAACTTTTATTGGTTGGTGAAAACTCTTTTGATGTACCTTCAATAGAGATTAATTCCCACTCCCTGTGCCCCTCCCTGGGTTTTAGGTAGCAGGTTTTTCTGATTCTGTTTTCCCTTCTGCTTAAACACACATACTGGAGTTTGAAAAAATGGGCATACAAATGATTTTATTTAAGGTTGAAATGTCATTTCACGCCACTTGGAATAAATTGATGCTTTTGATCAACTCTTAAGGGCCCTTCCAAGCATCCTTTTTATTGTGCTTTCATGATTATTTGGTATCAGGGAGGTTATACATACAATCCCACTTTCAATACTGTTTGTGTTTGTAAAGCTTTTGGAGGCAGACAAACTCTTCTGTTCCCAAACAGTGCATGTTCCTGCTAAAATCCTTCAATTTTTTTATACCACAAACATTCCAAGTTATTTTTTGTTTTTTCACTCCCAGATAGCTTTTATAGCACTCTTGTTCAAGATGTGTAGCTCCAGATGACAATAATGCAGTAACATTGGGGAAGCATTGCAGAACATCTAATAAAGCAGAAGGATGTGTGGATGCTCCAATATAAACCACCACAAATTCAGTATAAATGAGTCAATTGCATGTTGCAGAATATACCACCACCTAGACCAGCAGCAACAACAAAAATAAAATGTCATATGGAAGAGTCCAAATGAAATGAAATTTAATTGTTAATAATGTCATACTTAGACATGCAACTGAAAACAGGATTTATTAGCTTGGTTAATATTTTTAACACCTTAGATTTTTAGTGCTGGCATATGTGCAAACTGGCTGGTTTTATTTTCCACTTCATAAAATGCATCTTCTCATTCTTTAGTATGAGTTTTTGAGAAGTAGGAAATAAGACATTTTAGATTGTAAATGGTTTTAGGAATTGTGATACGCTTTTACCATTTTGGATTTATGTTTCGTCTTGTTTTTAAATGGTTTAAAATTTTGTACGTTGTGTGAATTGATTTTATTCACACGTTTGTACACCACCCTGGAATCGTCTGTTGAAACATTTAGGAAACACTTTAAAGAAATACGACATCAGATAAGTAAATAAGACACCAGCCTTTTGATGGTGCATTATGATGATCCAGCTTCGCCATTGTGAAGATTTTACTGGAAAGCTAATGTGGCAATTAAAAAAACAACGACTACACCAAACTCAATTAAACCTGGCACGCTGGTAGTTTTAGCTTGAATCATTTGCTCAGAGAACCTGATCTCTTTAAAAACTTTTCCCTTCAAGGGCTTGCGTAGCATATGAAAGATGCCAAGGCACGGCACATTGAGAAGAGCAACACTGATAGAATAAAAAAAGTACCTGTTGAGACCACATTGGTGGCATGATTGGAGACGGGTAAGCACTCTGCAGCACTGTGATGCATTATCAGAGGCAGAGAGGGTGACGAGTCTGAATTCAAAGGGATGAAGGTGTCAGCTGAAGGAAAGGCTTGACAACTCATTCCCACAAGCAAACAGAAAAGGAAGATCGAAGAGATGCCTTGCCTTGCTTTTCTCCCAAGTCTACCCTATGCAGTTCCCAGCAGTCCAGATTCGATTGCTACCACTTTCCCTTGCATATATACATAACATGGGTTATGGTGCACAGGGAAGTCGTGTGCAGGTATTTATACTGTCAGGAAATCCCTTTATCCATTTTAATGTGCTTTGCCTGGCCAAGTTGCCTGATCACTTAGGAACCTCCTTCCTCCCCACCCAAATGCAACAGACACCCAATTAATGAGGGGAAACCAGAGACCCAATTTTCCCCCAGGTTCTTTTAAAGCAGGCTTTTGTGAAGGAACAATATTGGATAAGGCTGCAGGAGGGAGTCTTTTTACCCCAATTTCTGCTCATATGATAGTTGCGGAAACCTCCTCAGTGTTATCCAACCGTATGAACACCTGCCCCAAAAGCCAAAAAACAAACACTCAAATCACGCAGAGATCCCCACCACACAAAGCAAAAGGTTGAAAAACCAAAATCTTACCAAAAAACCCCCCCAAAATCCAAAAATTATACATGTAAATTAAAACCAAAAACTATAGAAATGAGATTTGGTTCTTAATTTTTGGATTATATGAAGAGATCTGTAAACAGATTATATTCCATGAAGAAGGCTTCAAACGTACTACTCTGCATGATAGGAAGTACAGTGGTGCCTTGCAAGACGAAATTAATCCGTTCCGCGAGTCTCTTCGTCTTGCGGTTTTTTCGTCTTGCGAAGCACGGCTATTAGCGGCTTAGCAGCTATTAACGGCTTAGCGGCTATTAGCGGCTTAGCGGCTTAGCGGCTATTAACGGCTTAGCGGCTTAGCGGCTATTAACGGCTTAGCGGCTTTAAGAAAAAGGAAACAAACTCGCAAGAACTCGCAAGACGTTTCGTCTTGCGAAGCAAGCCCATAGGGAAATTCGTCTTGCGGAATGACTCAAAAAATGGAAAACCCTTTCGTCTAGCGAGTTTTTCGTCTTGCGGGGCACCACTGTACTAAGTGTTTATTGAGACTAGTCAGACTTGGAAAATACATGAAAGATGTGTTGTTTTAAGGTCCTATGGGAATAATAATATCAACAGTTCTCTGGAACAAACATAGATATTTAAAGTTGCATTATATAACTTTTTGCTTTTAAATGTTGCTGTTTTAAAAATGTTTCAGAGACTCACATTGAAAAGGCATTGTAATAAACATAGCTTCTGATAAGACCAAATGTAAGATATAAGATCAGATAAACATTCACCCTACTTTGAAGTCATTAATACATTTAAGGCATACGTATCATCCTAAAAAAGCAGTGTTATGTATCCACCAGTCAGCAACAGATGCTGAGATGCATGGTTGATCAAAAGTACTTATTGTAGCAGAACATGAATAAGTTTCCATCTACAATATAAGCCCAAAGTGGGTACAGTCTGCTGTCCAGACTTTTGGAAGAAATGATACTACCTGTAGAAGCATAAGGCACAAGAATAGTCATTGCCACCAATTGGAAGAGCTCTGTTTGAGAGAAGATAGGGCTTTTCCACAAGCAGAAAACCTCGCATGCTACTTGAGTTTTTGAGCTAACCATTTCTGCTCTAGCCTGTATTGAATTCAAAGCAACACTTAAAAAGTGTCATTCATATCGACTGATAACTCACAGATATTGTCACTGCAATTATACAGTTCTGGTTCCACATTTGATGGGTCCCTCCCAATTTTTTTCAACATGACTACTGTTTTTTCCACATGACTACTGCCGGGCTGCAAATGTAGGATTGCACCAGACATTCTGCACAGGGAAGGTTTTCTCTTCTCTGATCTAGAGCAAGGCAGTCACAATTGAATTTAATGAGCTGAGTTAGTAATGAGAGCATACTGAAATTTATTTGAATTGATCCTATGCGGCCTGTATAAAAAGGTTTCCTTCTACAATGTAAGAAATTTCCCAGTAAAACTGAAGTGAATTACTCCTAATATTCATTTCCTAGCGTGTTGCATGGATAAAAATTAATGTTAATATGAAAAAATTGCATCAGTCTGGTTATATGAATATGGACAAAGCTAGGGTTGCAAATGGGGCATATGAGTGGAAGGGAGGGAGATTATTACTATTGTGGGAGCCCAGAGCTCCGAAGGGGATAATTCAAGGCGGCTGTCATGTGGGCAAGGATCACACCCCACTGAGGAGAAGATTGAATGCAAATAGTGTTCTGGGCCCAGAAGATTCTCTTGGTTGTTGTTGTTGTTGTTGCTGTTTAGTCGTTTGGTCGTGTCCGACTCTTCGTGACCCCATGGACCAGAGCACGCCAGGCACTCCTATCTTCCACTCCCTCTTGCAGTGTGGTCAAACTCATGTTGGTAGCTTCGAGAACACTGCCCAACCATCTTGTCCTCTGCCATCCCCTTCTCCTTGTGCCCTCAGTCTTTCCCAACAACAGGGTCTTTTGCAGGGAGTCTTCTCTTCTCATGAGGTGGCCAAAGTAATGGAGCCTCAGCTTCACGATCTGTCCTTCCAGTGAGCACTCAGGGCTGATTTCCTTAAGAATGGAGAGGTTTGATCTTCTTGCAGTCCATGGGACTCTCAAGAGTCTCCTCCAGCACCATAATTCAAAAGCATCAATTCTTCGGCGATCAGCCTTCTTTATGGTCCAGCTCTCACTTCCATACATCACTACTGGGAAAACCATAGCTTTAACTATACGGACCTTTGTTGGCAAGGTGATGTCTCTGCTTTTTAAGATACTGTCTAGGTTTGTCATTGCTTTTCTCCCAAGAAGCAGCCGTATTTTAATTTCGTGACTGCTGTCACCATCGGCAGTGATCATGGAGCCCAAGAAAGTAAAATCTCTCACTGCCTCCATTTCTTCCCCTTCTATTTGCCTGGAGGTGACGGAACCAGTGGCCATGATCTTCGGTTTTTTTATGTTGAGCTTCAGACCATATTTTGCATTATTTTCTTTCACCCTCATTAAGCGGTTCTTTAATTCCTCCTCACTTTCTGCCATAAGATTTGTGTCACCTGAGGTTGTTGATATTTCTTCTGGCAATCTTAATTCCGGCTTGGGATTCATCTAGTCCGTCCTTTCGCATGTTGAATTCTGCATATAAGTTAAATAAGCAGGGAGACAATATACAGTCCTGGGCAAAGCAATAGCAAAGCAGTTATCACAATGAACCACCTGAATCCTTGTAAAATATAAAGCATGCGTTAAGACTCCCTAGTTTGTTATACCTATTAAGAAAACCATAATTAACAGTTTGCATGACTGGACAAATGGAACGATTCCTTTGACAGTCTGTATCATAGATGGACACATACAGTGTAGCAAAGACACCTGATAAAGAGAAAGGATTAAGAGATTTCAGCGGAAGACACTTTCCCATGCACTGATCACTTTTTAAAATATATAGAAGGCGCATTAGCTCCTGTTGCCAAGCTCTGGTTCATTGGGTTTTTACTAAGACCAGGCATAATTGCATTATGGCTGACAATAGTCTTAAAGCCCAACCGATGGGGGAAATGGGCCTACTTGATAAAGGATAAAAAATTAAGATAATTTGTTTTCCTGGGGCACCTGTCCTCACACTAGATCGCTGAAAAACAACCTTATGTGATTTGGTATAGGGTGCTCCCACGGTTCTCAATGCACAGCTAAAATAAGGGGCGTAAGAGAAAAATATTAGTTCCCCCAAATTCTGTGTGTTTGGACACAGTGCATACCCAAAAGTTTTTGAGCACGAAATGTTTTTAATCAGTAAAATATAAAAGACTCTAACAGTATTTTTCATATTTGAATTTGTATGAACCATCGCTCCCCACTTCCAAACTTATTTGATCTTACATACTCCTTAGAATGCTAACAGCATGCTTAGATCTAGCGTCTGCCATAACATTGTTTGGTGGCAATGTTGCTGATTATGAAAAAGGGGGTGCTTTGGTTCACTTGAAATGAAACTCCTCTGGTATTGGTTGGAAGTTTAATAAACACTTGCTTTGTCTTGTTGACAGGTCAAGATTCTGGTCTTAAACCTGAGGTCACCAACATGGTGCCCTTGTTATCATGGAGTGTTTGACTTCCCATGGTACCCACAAACCCTGAGCTGCCTCACCCTCAGTGTGCCCTGGTGGGTGAAGGTGGTACATAAAGCCAAAGGAGGGAATTAGAAAAGCCATGCTCTCTCACACTTCCTGTTTCAATTCCATTTCCTTGTAAAGCTCTGACAGAAAGTAGGGGAACTGAAAAGGTAGGAGGGAAAACCACCAGCATAACACAAGTCATCACTTGGCCCACAGTTATTTTCTCTGATTTGTTGGTGATTTTGTTGTTATTCTATGGAAAATTCATGAAGATCCATGTATTAATTTTACTGTGCAGTCTACCAATGTAAACTTTCATTTGATTTGAGGGGCAAGAGGACCCCACCTAAAATCATAAAACTAAAGCAGATCCATTTTAATTCTATTGGATCTGGCTCTTACCCAGAGACATGGAAATCAAACAACAGAAACTAGAGGTGGTGTCCACAGCACTCTTTCAAAATTTCCTATGAGGAAAGGGTGAAGAAGTTAAGTAAGAAGCAACATGAAAGGCATTTTAAAACATTTGAAGGGCTGTCACATAAACAATGGTCAAATTTATATCCTGTCATTCTGAGGTTAGGTCCAGTATGTCCAAAATACAAGAAAAATGATTTAGACTAAAAATGAGGAAGAACTTCCTAATGATATAGGTGGTCTGATGGACTGGAACAGATTGCCTCAGAAGATGTTAGGTGAGAAAGTGGCTGGGCCACTTAGGGATGCAGTGGGCTTCCTGCACTGACAAGGTTTGGACTAGAAGCCCTTTGAGGTCATTTCCATCTCTATGATTCTAGAAACTCAAACAGGAGAAAATCATGACATATTATCAGGTTTAAATAAAGTTTGGGAAACGAGCCCATCTTTTATTTATTTACTTAAAAGAAAATTGACCATAATGAGT